ACCTTGACATGGCCAGTTTCCTCTTGCAGCCCAATGGGGGACTGATCTCAGGCTCTTCTTTCACTTTTGTGTCTTCCATCATTTCTTTCTTCATGAAATCCTTCTCTTCTTTTACACAGGCTCCATCCATCATCTCCTCCTCTTTTATATCCTGACCAACAAATACCTCCTGTTTTATCTCCAAGTAATCCTCCTTCTCTTCCTTCACTTCTGGCCAGTCCATTACTTCTTCCTTCACCTTCACCTTCACCTTCTCTTCCTTTACCCCTAGTTCATCTACCTTCTCTTCTTTTACCACCAAACTACTATTATCCACTTCCTGCTTCACCTCTAATATGCCAGTTTTCTCATCCTTCACCTCAGGTCCATCCTCCACCTCCTGCTTTACCCACTGGCCATTCAACAAGCCGCCTTCTATATCCGACCAGTCCATGACTTCTTGCTTTACAATTGTTAAGTCCATTCGCAYCTCCTCTGCTTTTTGCCCACTTCCTTCTTTTGCATTCTCTGTCKTCTTCCTTCCTGTAAATCCTTTCCCCTTCTCTCCACCACTGGCCTCCTCCATCCCTGCTAAGTCCCTGACTCCCTCCCTACCGGACTCGGGACTCAGGCGCACCCCCTCAGCTATCCTCTGGAGAACTCCTCCCGAAGTCTCTTCAGCTTCAACGGCAAACTCCATCAGCTACGCTGCCACTCTGTTCTTCGATGTAGCTTAGCACCACGCTACCAGTAAGAATTACTGGGCAGAASTACAACAGCACCACACGTGTGGAGAAAAGAAGTCGGAAGCTGCGAATGCAGCCTGGCTCGCTGGCCGGGACTGCCGTGAAGCAAAGCTTCCGCGCCACGACACTTCACGACCTGTTGAGTTCTTTACGGCCTAGCGGCGGTCCAGACCCATCCCTTAAGAAAATCTTGTAAAGCCACTCCCACTGCTAATCCCACTTCACCCTTGCCGGAGGAGGGTTCTTCTGGCGCTGCGGTGTTTACAAAGAAAGCTGAAACTCTTAAATCTTACAATKGGAAGACCCACCCTAATCTGTAATCCTTWTCTTTTTTTTTTTTTTTTTTGGTACCAAGGATTGAACCCAGGGATACTTAAMCACTGAGCCACATCCTAGCCGTTTTAATTATTATTATTTTTGAGGCAGGGACTTGCTAAATTGCTTAGGGCCCGATTAAGTTTCTGAGCTAGTCTGAACGTGCACTTCTCCTGCCTCAGCCTCCCAAACTGCTGGGATGAGGCGAGTGCCACCACACCGAGCTAAAACTGATCTTGTTTGAGAATGGAGGACGCACCTGATGTCATGTGTCTCCACGCTTCAATTTTTTCACCTATACACTASGGATGGGGTATTACAAACCTCTTAATGTTATTGCAAAGATTACATGAAATCACGAAGCTCGGGGTGACTCACACAAAGTCAGTATCTAGTGGCTGTTACTAYAGGGAATCTGTTAGGTTTCAGGTAGGAAAGGGGTATTGACTTTTATTCTTTCAACTCAATCAACAATAGCCTGTATCAGCTCGTTCTACATACTTAGCATTCTACAAGACTCTTAGAATACATATTCTTAATATATAACTCTATTTAAAGACTGGRGCAAAAGTTCAATGCACGGGAATAGATCTAAACATAACATGCACTTTCAAAAATAAACACTACCCTTGCATCAGTTTCAAGAATTTTTAAAAAGTATTACTATGTTTTGAGCATTAGGCACTAAATTAATCAGACATTGATTTTCACTTAATGTCTCTCAAGATACACACACACACACASAGAAGTTATAAATAAATTGCAGAAAAATCAGTAGAAGGAGGAGAGCAGGGGAAAGTAGGGATTGTTGAAGTGCTGGGGACAGAATTAGAGCAAATTATATGCCATGCTTTTGTGATATGTCAAAAATGTATCCTAATGTTTTACTTAACTAAAAAGAGTCGATAAAAATATAAAAAAGATAAATATTTTTCCTCCCTGTGTGWGGAAATTTCAAAGAAATGGCTTTTGTGCTAACCCTTCAGGTCTTGTTAATTTGCAGGCTATTCACACATAGGTTAGGGAATGGAATTTTTGAGTCAATGAGAAGAACAGGGAAGAGAATTGTTGCTGCAGTGTTGGGAAATCAAACTCAAGACCTTACACTTGCTAAGTGTACAGCTCTACCATCAAGCTACATCCTTAACCCTGAGGTAATTTYGGAATCTTAGTTGGGCCACTACTGTTTGAATAGCCCTGAAAGAAACATTAAAATAAGTATAGYGAATTGAGTAAAATCCCCTTGTTAAGTTGTGAAGAGGAAGTTTCCAGAGAAATCATATGATCATTTAGTCTCTTGCTGGGATACTTAAAGATGCCAGTTGCCYTTGGAGTCAAAGAAAAATTTGACTGGATTTTTTTTTCCTTTTTGTACTGAGGACACTTTACCACTGACTATATCCCCAACCTTTGGATTTTTTTTTTTTTTTAATTTTCAGACAGGGTATCTCTAAGTTGTTGAGGCTGCTCTCAAACTTTCAATTCTCTTGGCTCAGACTTCCAATTCTCTGTGATTACAGACATSTGCCCATATATAGGTCTTCAAGCTGGATTACTCTTTACATTAGGAAAAGAGTTTAAAATAGAGAAAGCATTCCTGGTGTAGCATTTATTAGTAGTTTGTTCCTTTTATATTGATGAATAATATTCCACTATAGGAATGTACCACATTTATTCATTCATGTACTAGTTGATGGGCATTTGGAGGTTTCCAGATATTATGAATAATTAATACTGTTTCCATATTAATATACAACTTTTTATCTGGATATTTTTTATTTTCCTTGAATAGATACCTGGCAGTTGGTCATATGAYAAGTTTAGGTTTAATTTTTAAGAAATGGCCATATTGTTTTTTTAAAGTGGCTATACCATTTTACATTTCCACTGGTTGAGAGTTCCAGTTTCTCTGTATCTTTGTCAACACTTGGCACTATTTTTTTTTATTATGGGTATGTAGTGGTATCTCATTGTTAATTCAATTTTCATTCCTTAAGTGTTGTTGACATCATTTTATATGCTAACTGACCATTTGTGTATTTCCTTTAGTGAAATGTTTATTGAAATATTTTGCCCATTTTAATTCACTTGTCTCTTTATTATCAAATTATAGTAGTCTCCATATATTATGTATACAGATTTGTGGTAGACAGATAACAATATGTTCTCCAAGATCTCAAGAGGCTAGTCATATCAATGTGTAGAATGTTACTACTTTATTCCAGAATTAGTCTGTTACTGATAACATAGAATAGAACATTATGTTACTTGTGTGTGTTAGTCAGCCTTTGGTCACTGTGACCAAAATACCTGACAAAAACAACTTAGAGAAGAAAAGGCTTATGGTTTGGGCTCATGGTTTCAGTGATCTCAGCACATGGTCAGCTGACTCCATTGCTCTGGGCCCAAAGTGAGGCAGAATCTCATGAAGGAAGGGTATTATTATGTAGGAGTTCAGGGACACCAAGATGGTAGAGATGGAGTACTAGAAAGAAGCCGATAGAGGACAAGACAAGGAGGCGAGTTCTGTCCCTGTTTTAATCAATCCCATTACCACAGTTCCACTGAGGATTTATCACATGACAACTCCCACCAAAGTTCAAATTTTAAAAATGACCAATGGAAGTAAAGTGGGCAGTATTTTAATAATGTTTTCTAAAGTAACCAATGGGGGGAAATTGGGATCATAAGATAACCAATGGGAGAAAATGGGGTAAGATCTTCAATCAGGTATGTACAGGGACAAGAACACCCCACAGTTTAGAATATRAGACCTGAATTTGAAGACATTGGGTCCTTGAGCGCCTCTCTCTCTCAGCCCACTCTGTTCTACCTAGTGGAGTGTTATCTTCACCTTCAATAAATCTGTACTCCATCTGTTACTTCTGTGTGTCTCGTTCAATTCTTTGTTCAGGACACCAAGGACCTAAACTTCAACTGTATATCTCAAAGGTAACAGTATTTCAGAGAAAGCTGCTCAGCTCATGGCTTCTACAAAGGGGTGAGAGGGAGGTAAGGAGAGAATGGAGGGAGGGGAGTAGAGAGGCAGAGACAAGATATAGTTCAAAGGCACACCCCCATTGAACTATTGCCTTCAGCTATACCCGCTTGCCTCCAGTTACCACTCAGTAGTCCATTCAAATTATTAATCCATTAAATGGATTAATTCACTGATGAGGTTACACTCGTCACAATCTAAACATTTCTCTGAGCATTTCTCATTGCCTACTGTTGGGAGTCTCCCTGAGAACTCCCCGGGCATTTCAGACATGGCAGCGGGCGACTCGCCAGTGGGCGGCTAGAACTCCCCGGGCCTTTCAGATAAGGAGCCCCTAATGCAACATGGCGGGGAGCAAGTTGCCAGTGGGTGGATAACAAGTTGTTTTGAAAACCTTCTAATTGGCCCTCCCGTCTTCCATACTTGTGGACAGTTCGTGCTCCCCATGAATCTTATGCAGGGCGGACATGCGCGCACCGTAGGTGATGACCTGACCTGTACTATGATTGGCCCCGGGAGCTTCCTGGTTTAAGATAACTAACTCTCACTTTCTATATAAACTAGCACCAGCTTGCAGTAAAGTGCTTCATCTTTGTCACTGCTGTCTGTGTGTGTGCATTTTAATCTCCAATGATGAACCTTGGCCTTTCACCTACCACATGAACTTTTCAGGTGTCTTTAAAGGTCCAAACCATAATTGTAAGCTTTCTGTTGATGTAACGAATGCCTAAGATAATCAAGTTAAAAATAGGAAAGGTTTATTTTGGCTCACTTAAAAATAGAAACGATTTATTTTAAAGATTTCAGCCCATGGGCAGTTGACCCATTGTTTTTGAGCCTTGATGAGGCAGCATATCATAGTGAGAGCACATGGCAGAGAAAGCTGCTCAGCTAATGGAGGCTGGGAAGTGAAAGAAAGAGAGAGGAAGGGTCCAGTGTCCCATAATCCCCTTCAAGAACACATTTCTAATGACCTAAAGCTCCCAGTAAACCTCACCTTTTAAAGGTTTCCATAACTGTCCAGTAGCACTAAGTTGAGGAAAAAAGGTTTCATCATATGGGCCTTTGGAATAGTCCAGATCCGAACTATGGCATTCTGAAATTAGGTTTGAAAAAAGGCTAGGATTTATGTCTTTCACAATTGCTTATTTGTTCTTTCTCTTAGATTCCTCACTCTGRGTGAAGCAAGCTGCCATGTTGTGAGTAGGTCTTTAGAGAGATCCATGTGAAGCTGGAGACTCTGGCTGTTACAGGCTCAGTTGAATCCCCTAAAGTTTCATAGGTTGAAGCCCTAACTCCAATATGTCAGAATTTGGAGATAAGGTAAATAAAAGGGATGGTTAAGTTAAAATGGGGCACTTAGAGTGTATTTTCATCCAGTCTGACTGATGTTCTTAAAAGAAGAAGAAATTTGGACATKAAAAAGAGACACTAGTAATGAATGCACATAGAAAAATAGAATGTGAAGACACGGTGAGAAGGCAGTCATTTACTCACCAACAAGAAAGGCCTCAGGAAAAAACAAAAACTTGCTGGTACCTTGCTTTTGGACTTCTACCTTCTGGAAATGTGAGAAAAAAAAATATATATTTTTTTTGCCTTAAGCCATTCAGTCTTTGTCACTTTGCTACAGCAGCTCCAGTAAATAATACAACTAGCTAACAACTTGCAAGAAACTGAAGCCTGTGAGTGACCTTGGAAGATTCTGTAGTCCTAGTCCTGCTTTGACATGACAGCAGCTGTGGCTAACAGCTGCAACCAGATTTCAGTTT